CAATCTGCAGAGCAGCAGTTTAAAGTGAATCAGAAGGAGAAAGATTCGTTTGAAAAGTCTTCAGCCACCTTTTATTTCTTTTAATTTTCCCTCTATTTTCCCTAAAGTGTTCTTTAGCGTTGTGTCCAGCTCAGCAGAGCAGCAGTTTAAAATAGTTTATCTGCAGGTTTCTTGCCAGATATGTTCAGAAATGGTCAGAAAATGGCTTTGAAAAGGCCTGAAGAGGATTTTAGTTTCAGTTTTAAAGTACATTTCTCAGCTCTTGTCGGTTTTCTGCTTCCTGTGACGTGGGGAAGCGTCTGCTAGCAGCTGCTGTGTTTCAGGGAGGTGGTGGACACCATGGTGCAGCACTTCAAGGTGACCATCTTTGGGGACCGACTGCCAGTTTACGATGGGAAGAGGAGCCTGTACACGGCCAGCCCGCTGCCGGTGGCCGCCGGCGGGGTAAGAAGCCCCGCCCACTGCCGCCATTCCCGCCAATGCTGCTTTCTGGCTTTCTTTTTTTTTTTAACAAAATGTTTATTATTTTTTCAGAAATAATAATGTGGTACAAATGTACATGTGTATTTTTACATTTTTAAACATAAAAAACAACCAAACACAAACACAGGGTGATTACAAGAGTGTGAGAAAAAACAAAACAAAAAAAACCTTATTGCATAATTAGTGGAACGACAGGTCTCCAACGTTTATTGAATATGGGTGTTTGTAGTCTCTGTTATATATTCCATTTGGTATATGTCCCAGACCTTCTGGATCCATATATTATAGCAAGGAGGCTCAGGTTGGAGCCATCTGATAGTTATACATTTTAGAGCCGCTGTTAATAATATGTTCAAAATATAATTTCTATCCCGTATAGCGATAGTTTTAGGTGTTACTCCCAATAAGGCAATGACTATATTGGGATTTCCTGTTTGAAGATTATGGCATCAAAAATGTCTTTCCAAAACTGATGTAATTTGGGCATTGCCAGAATATGTGTGTGTGGTTGGCATTGTCAGTTCCACATTTTCTCCAACATAATCCTACGTATTGCTTTCTGGCTTTCTGACCGTGCTGCTTCTCCCCAGGTCGACCTGGATGTGACGCTGCCGGGGGAGGGCGGGAAGGACCGGCCCTTTAAGGTCGCCATGGCGTTTGTGTCGGTGGTCAGCTGGCGGCTGCTGCACGACGTCCTGACGGGGCACGCTGCCGCCGAGCCCGTCGACCTGGACAAGCCCATCAGCACCAACCCCGTGCACGCTGTGGACGTGGTGCTGCGACACCTGCCCTCCATGAAGTGCGTCCCTTTAAAACCTGCAGATGTTCTTACTCACAGCTGGAATTATTCCAGAAAATCGCAGGTTTTTCCCTTTAAAAATGCACTGAAACGCCCTCCTTCGAGGTTTTTTTATAGGTGAAAATAAAACCAAGGCCACGGATTAGCCAGCTGGCATCTTACTTACTTACTTACCTGTTGGTTTTTCGGGGGGGTGGCTTAATTCATATTTAAGCCACTGGCCAAAACACCTGTTTGAGTTTGGCAAGAAGCTGCCCAGATGTTGAGCTGTTAGCGTTAGCGGCTGCTGGAGGAAAGCAGATGTTTGGAGAAGCTCAGGGGCTGAAAGGTGACTCCGACCAACTAATATCTCGATCGTTCCCTCTGATTGGACCGTTCAGACTAAAAGGTGCTCCTTATGGACACATTTCAGTTGAAATCAGTGCATCCAGGTTTGCTTCTTGGTGATAATGTGACATATATAACTAGATATTATGAATGCAGGTGGACTGAGTTTATCGCATCTGTAACAGAGGATATTTATTTAAATCTGATGTAAATGGGGATTGTATTGTATTAATGTATATATACTGATTTACATCTGAGGCTCACCCATTGAGTTATGTGCTTTGTTTAAATGTCTATTGCTTGAAAAAAAACTTTGAAAATAAAGAATTAAAGTAAAAAATAAAGAAAAGTGACCATGACCTGTGGGGCTCTGTGTGCAGGTACACCCCCGTTGGCCGGTCCT